TGTCCGCCCGAAGCGTCTGCCAGGGGAGGGCAAAACCCGGCGTTACTTAGGGCCCCCGCCGGTGACGCGAGGTGGTGGTGCTCCAGAGCGGGGTGCCGCCCGCCGCAGGTGCTTTTTTGCGTTGGTTGTGCTGCGTGTCCCAGAAAGTTCAGGGGTCTGGCTGTGCGAAGCAGGCTGGCAGTAGGAGCTGTAAAGCTGGTGCTGCCGCCTCAGTTGAACGCCTCTGGGACAACAGCCCAAGGAGGGCTCCGCAGCGTGCAGCCGGCTCGCGGTGCAAGCATCGCAAGGGAAACAGGCTGGAGTACAAATCCTGTGCTGAAGGCTGCGTCCTTAGGGCTAATTATGTGCTCTTAATATATCTCAGTGCCCTTGTCTTTGTTCCACGTTGAACTAAGTGAAAGATATCTACTCTTCTACACGTAAAAACTAAGACTTCCATGAGAACTGGGTGGCACTTGTCACAAGAACTATCTCTTTCCAGCTTCCAATTTCATTCCCAGTCTCGCTAGAGAAGAAGGAATGGTCGCAGGATTTTCTTCATACCACTTTATGTTTCACTAGGTAGATGTTAGCATGGAAATGAAAGATGGAAGGAATTGAGGTCTGAGATGAAAAAAACAGCTAAATATAGCAAAGCAGTAAAATGTACATTGGAAGTCATCAGGGAACAGTGACAGCCTAACTTTATGAAAGAATTATTAACATCTGGGCAGAATATCATGGTGCACTATCATCTGAGCTCCACATAGAACAGAATAGTTCAGTTGGAAGGGACCTACAATGATCATCTCGTCCAACTGCCTCTGTAACTCCTGCAGTACATATAGGGTATGAATCATAACCTGATGGAAACATATGGAGGTATAGTGGTAAATCAGAATGTGCAGCCTCACCTAAATGCCAGTATCTAAAATACACAAGGGAAGCAGCACTTACATCTGTTTGCCCTCACATACAACACTGAGCAAGTTCACAAAATGGCAGATGTGAGAACAGAGCCAGGTGAGAAGGCAAGACTCCTAAGCAGCGGCAGGAAGGCAGAAGAGGAATCGAAGCAAATACTGTTGTCAACGAGGCGGAAGAACAGGAAGAGTCCCAGAAGCCCAGGAGAAACAAAGTTAGGGGAACAAGGATTGTCTGCAGGCTGCGAATACAGAGAGTCGCTGTTGGATTTGAAAAGCTGAGGGACCTGAAGTACACTTTCTGAATACCACTCGCTGATCAATATCTTACACAGGTCAAGCTGCCCAACAAAAACCCAACCGTGATACCAGTATTTCAGAGCAGCAGCTTCTTGTGTTCTCCACCTCCATTTAAAACATTTCTCTGGCAATTTTGTATTACTGGTTTATCATCATATTGTAGTTTTGGCAGGCAATACAGGCTAACGATGTATAATAATGTTAAATATGTGTTTGTACAGTAATATGAAAGGGAAAAAAAGATTGAAGGGCATTCCTTTATACAAACTATGTTTTAAAAGTAAGAGTCGTGCCAGTTGGTCCACAGGTTCAGAGAATTTTCATGAATATGCAAGAGATTTAATTAAAAATAGAACATGCCCTAATTACATAATCATGCAAGAGAACTGATTCAAAGGAACCAGTCCTGTCTTTTGAATAAACAATATTCATTGCTTTCTTCCTATCACACATATGCTTTAAAAGATTTCCTGCAATTAGCTGCTTACCCGAGGGATCTGAGCATCCCCGAACAAAGCAGCTACTCCAGCGATGACCCTAATTCATAATACGCTGGCTAATCAAGTACATGCATGCTGGCGATTTCCCACATAAGCAGCGCGCAACTGTAAGCACCCTCCTGCAGGAAGGGTTGATTGGTTCAATGGAACTAAAGTATTGCTCCTCTCTGTTTATGGCACGCAGCGTTAGATGCAAAAGAGACTTTGTGAGCGTGCTTTTTCCTCAAGCTTCTGCCTCACACGAAATATCTAAGAGTTCCTCTCCATTTGGATCTTGTTTTTCCTGTCCCATCTACATAAGGATTATCCAAGCTCATCTAGCAGTAAAAACTATTTACTGCCCACATTTCCATCTTCTCTGAGGGAACTAGTTATGCTATGTGCCCTGCTTTTAGGACGAGGTGATCTAGCCATGCTGTCTCTAGAATATTCTTTGTCTGCCACCAACAAGGTCACCGTGGTTTTCTGCAGACATCTGAGCAGATATTAAAACAAACCCCCCAAACACATTATCTATGATGTTGGATTCTTTATTCTCAACATACCCTTTTCCCTCCTCTCCCAGAAGAGAGAGTGAGGCTTCTAACTCACAGTGGAATAGAAAAAAGCAAACATTTCAACTAACAGCAGAAAGTTCTTACGTTTTGCAGTTGAACAGTGTGAGAAATACACACAGCAAACTAAGATTGGGTTTACCTGACATCCCCAAATAGAGCATGCCTCTCTAAAGAAATTCAGGTTCACTTCATTTAAGAAGTGTGGGTTGTTTTATTTTACCATTGTTATTAAAAAAAATTATCCTCCTGGCTTAGAGGATCTTTCCTCCAAAAGAGACAAAAGTTTTGTAAATCTAATCTTACAGTCTATAAAACTTATGACTTCATTTTATAAATATGGGCTACAATAAAGTACTGCATTGGAATAATTTCAACTGCTGCTAAAGTGCTCTTTAAAAGCATCCTGGCAATAATAAATATTGAAAGGCCAGATTCGGCAACCTGTCTGGCTTTTCATCGCAATCACTTGACAGCCGCATATGCTTTTAGTTTGTATTTCCTATAAGAACGTCCTTTATGGAAAAGAGAAAACATGAAAATCAGTGCTCTGGAGTCAAAAGCGTCAAGTCCGCAGTCCCAGACACAATTTTAGCCTCACTCCTTTGTGCATGTCTGCAATTACTGCGTGCGGAGCTACCTTCTCATCAGGGAGCTAAGGCACTTTGGAGTGAAAGGACTGCGTTCTGTTTGACATGACTCATTGTCACAGTCAAGATGCCTGAACATACCATTGGGAACCCACTGTTGGGCACGGCATTAAAGTACGAAGTAAAATAAACACTGACCATGATCCTGCTTCCCAAGTCAATAAGCTTTACTTACATGCAAGTGAATTCTCCTTTTTCAGAGTCATAAGGATTTCTAGAAAGCTGTGACAAATGAAAGCCAGTGTCCTTTCCCCTGCCGTTTTCTATCCGCAGAGAAATAACAAGGAAATAAAGCATGTGGTGTTCATTCAACTCTTAGCAGGGCATTTCATTAGTTTATTTCTGTTACTTTTTTTTAATACAGAGCAGGACACTCGCTGTGGACATTAACATTTTGCTAACCAGAATTCTTTTCATCTCCCAGCTATTACAGCGCAGTGCTATTGTTGAAGCCCAAAAGATAATGAAAGGTTTTAAGAAGCCCATTCAATTAGCTTTTAAACAGTCCTATTATGAAAAACAGACTTTAAAACCTCAGCTAATACAGTTAAAGTAACCACTTGAAAGCTAGAAACTATTAGAGAATTTGCATGTCAGTATTAATGTGAGCATAAAGAAAAATACTAGACAATTTCAGAAACACAGCTATATTTATATATCCCAATTTCCACTGTGATCTTCAAAGTAGTAAGTGATCAAGGAGCTAAGAATTGCACCCTTTGACAAACTATAATATTCTGTGCTTTATGAATTTACAGACAGTGTTAGGTTTTCCAAGACCCTACTTTTAAGCATCAAAATTCCCAGCGAGTTAAGGGTATGCAGAGGAGAGCTTGTGATGATAATTAGACTTGTGTCTTTACTGCCTGCAGTCAAGGAGTAGGTTCCCACCTCTCCAGAAAGAATGCTCCCACCAATACATACTTACTCTGCTCAGCCAGAAATTTCTGTTCCTTCTTTACTTCTGCCACACCTCTCACTTCATTGAAAGATGAAGCAACTTCCTTCCTTCCTTGCTTCCATGTTCTGTAGTCAGCTGATAGCTGACTACCAGCACCTTTCTAGCTTGGAAAGAGTTTCTTCTCTGTACTCACTCTGAATGATCTTTAGTGCTTATACATGAAGAAAGATAGCATTCCATTTAAGCTCCTCCTTTGCTTCCTCCATAGTCTCACTTTTCAGTGAGTTTATTCTGTCTCAGGGTTTCAATTGCTCATTCAAGGTTATGGGAATTATTAATCACTGTGTATGAGTCACAGGAAGTTACATTTATTTCTGTATTCACCTACCTCAGTCACCGAACCATTGCAGAAGTGTGTTAAATCCTTCTGAGGAAATAAAAGAACACTGCTGGTGGAATATCACAATCTTGGCCACTACGAGAGTAAGAATATTCAGTGTGTGATACAGTACTTCTCTTCACCCTCCCGTATCTTTACTTCCCAACTATGACTGCTCCCTTTCTTTACCTTTCTATTGGGATAAGGCCTAGTATTGATAGGAAAAAAGTTAATTCCACAAACACAACAAACGGACTCTTCCAAACACAGTATCTTTGATCGTCTGTGTGTTCAAATGCAGGAACGCTTAGCTAAAAGCAGAAAACAAAAGGATCACCTCTACTGATTTCTAAGTGCCTGCTTTATTACTACTTAAATTATCCCCTTCCCTTTCTTTGAACACCAGCTGCTTGTTACCTACGCGGTTTGTCAGCATTCCTTTATGGAGATTTGCTAACTCATCAGGCTTTGCTGCCAGATTACTTGCAATTGGATTAGGTGAGACTCTTACCTTGATAATCTTGGTAGTGGTTGTAGGGTTTTTTCTATGGTGAAGGAGACTTCTAGGTACCCTCAGAGTTTCATTATGAAAAGTGTTTTTTCCCCTAAAAAAACCTGTGAGGGCTGAGATTTTAATTTCAGTCACACATCAGTCTAAATCTGGGATAATTTCATTAACCAGCATGAGATTTTTCTTTTTTGGAAAAGTGTATCTTTGAAAGTGTGAGAAAGGCATTCCTTTTTCCAGCCAGCATTAGGCAGAGGCACGGACTGGGACATAAACTTGTCTCTGCACCAGGGAAACCGGTGCTTCCTCATGGAGGTATAAAAGATGTGTTCTCTTCACTCTCACTAAGATTCCTACATATATTTATGAAAGAAGGAAGCTGTGATTTTTGAGATGCTGTCTTTTATTAAAGCTCATGCATATGCTAATCACAAGAAATGCTAATGCCAGTGTATGCCTGTATGTGACCTTTTCCAAGTAGAAATTTGCACCTACTGATGAAAGAGAACTAAGTCTCCAAAGTCTGGGAGGCATGACAGATAACCACCTCGTCTGGTCTTTTTCTAAATGTAATTATCAAACTCTATTGAAAAACAAGGAGGCATCTTGCCCTTCCTGCCCAAGAACCTCACTCCTCCGGTGTCAGTCCCAAGGGTAATATATACATAGAGATACGGTGCCAAATTGTGTCATTTCTTTCCAGCTCTTCTCCCTTGCTAGTGATTAGCCCCATTTCTCTACGTGTTTGCATTTCTAAGGAGGTTCTCAAAATGTAATGCTTCTCTTTTACATGTTTGATTAAATTATTATAGAGAAAGAAGATTCTTCCCTGGGTAGCCCTCTTAGCTGGTCCTTCCTCCACTCATCTGTCTAGGAGATTCTGCGCTCCTTTCTCCCCCCAATCATCAGTTTGCTTGGCTAAACAAATTGAACTCTTAATCCCCCGGATTATTCAACTCGCCCTTCGCTGCTCCCATTTGCTTCATCTTTTTTGAGCCTAATGTGCTCCAATGGTTTGTGCCATGATCACTACTGAAAATTATTGTTCCCACATCTGATTTATCAGTAATCTCCCTTTCACTTGATGTATTCCTTTTCTGCACACGCTGCATGCCAAACCCTTATTCCCCTTTCAGTTCTTCTGTTAAATGCTTTTCTCTCCTCCTCAACTAATACTCTATATGGAATTACACCAAATTCACTTGGCATCCAAGGTGGATTGGAAATCTCATTTAACATGGGAGGCCATTTTACATCTGCTTTTCATTGTTGGAGTTTGCCTTGATTAAGAGGGTATTCAAACCAAGGCTGCACTGGACTGGGGACTTCATGGTAATACAGTTTGCCCCAAGGGAAAGGGAAATGTAAATGCTTCTGCTGTGCGACAACTCTTTCTGTGCCAATGATAAATTATGTCCCTGCAGAAAATGGCTTCTGTGAATGTGCCTGTGGCTAGATGGATGGTATATAGTACGTGGGGCTGAGAAGGGCAGAGTCACTCTAGAAATCAATAGGAAACAGAACTGCCTGTGCCAGGGATTTTGTTCCTCATCCGCTCTCTCCCGGGAAATAGAGCAGATGCAGGATAAGGAGAGATGATCTAATTCCCAGGGGTTTAGATACGAATTGTCTCTCCCTGATGCTTCCCTGTTCCCACAGCAGGTATGTCCTGTGAAGCTTATGCTTCCGTTTCAGATGTTGTAATTCCTATCTTTTCTGTTGTAATTCTACCTTTTTTTACCTGCTTCAATGGAACATGTTCTTGCCAGTTCACAGAGAAATCCATTGAAAGGTATTAAGTTCAAAGACGTGCCACAGTCAATACTCTTTACTACTTCTGTATCTTCACAATGATAAGAAAACAAGACATGTACATCACCACTATCAAGTCTTAAGACTTAAAACATGAGTGAGATGATTGCATAATTCACTCCCCCGGGTTGGAGGATATGTTTTATCTCTACAGGCTCGTCTGTCGGTTACCCGAGGGCAAATATTGTTGAAGAACTCAGTCTGTGGACAGGTTCCAAAAAGTCTAGAACAGTCTAATAGCCCAGATGAGAAGGGGTTGAGAGAATGGTTTTAAATAACCTTTGTGCCTTCCCAGTGCTATACTATTCTCTGCCCCCTGTGTGATTTAGACAACCACAAGGACCTGGCTTCCATGTGATAGTTCTGCCCAGGACCTCCACGGGGTCCATCTGTAACCTAGCCCATCCACACTTAGTATATACCCCCTATGTGAGGGGATGTGAATGGAGGCCTTAGGAACTAGCCTTGTAGGTGCCAGTTTCTGAAGAAAGGAATTCCTCATACATCTGTCTATAGGTGCTTTAGAGACCAGTATATAAAAAAAAAAGCAGTGAGGAGATGCTATTAATTTGTCAAGTTTGGCAGATACTGCTGCATCACATCATGTTCTGAAGGTTCTCCTTGAGCCAAAAAGGCTAGACTCAATTTGGGCAAGTTGTAATTTATGCAGGAGCTAGGTAAGGAGAAGGCGCTTACCTCATCAGTATGTAGATCATCATAGATATTCTGAGGCTACCATTTTGCTTCAGAGGACAAATCACTGAAGATAGGAATTTAAAGCAGGGCTCCTTGACCTTTGACTTCACGGCCAGCTGGGCATAGTACAATTCACAGGAAGTAGAGCTTGCAGTAATTTCTTTCAGGGAAAAAATCTGTGCCACCACGGTTCTCTACACCACCAGCATCACCTAAACCACCTGGACTGTTTGAGGTGTTTTGGTTACACGGAGCAGTTCACTCTGTCACATCAGTTAACAACAGTCTCCTGGGGAAGCTCTGGGGAATTGCTGAAACATGCCATATGCAGTACTTCAGATTTTGCATCTATGTATTCTAACATAAAACTATTCCTTAATGTTTAAAATAATAATTATGTTTTCATGAAAGCTGAAATACATTGAAATTGTTTCAAAGGCATATATAGTGCAGTTTTACAGCTTACCAAACCCCGCATATGGAAAATAATGTGACTGTAAACAGGAATTGAAACATGCCTCAAATAAACACCAGGAGAAAGCTGGGAACAACTGATATATATAAATTAGCCATGAAAGTGAAGTGTGCTGCCTACACAGCATTACGCTTGTTATTACATGCTGAAGGGCCACAAAGTACACCATCACCATATGTTTGAAAACTGTCATGACTCACCCGGAACAGGTTGATGAATAGTGGCATCTTCCTTCATCGGTGTATGGCCCTGACCAGAAATCTACCCAGTAAATGGTCCCGTTGTGGGCAGCAATTTAACACGCCCCATATCCTTATAATTAACTACATAACCGTAAAAACATTACTGCCAGGTTTATCATGCAGCAATGCAGAAAGCACTCTAAATATCTTTAAAGGAAGGTTCACGCATTTGTCATTTCCCATCCCACTCATTTAGCAACCGAAGGAGGCTGGAATGCTGTGCTGCCAGCATTCTCATTAATGTCACTTACCTTCTTTCTCGTTGAATTTTTGGTTGTCAACTCTGTTGTGCAGTGCCCAAAACCAAAGTTCATACTGTAAATAAGTGAGATTGCCTTCCTAATTTACATGTAAACATATAATAGAACTAAAAGTTGAAAGGACATTGTTAATTACCTATGAAATTGAACAAGGAGTGCTAAGTGGCTGTTAGAGAATACCTATAAATTATAGACTCAAGACAGTAAGTAATATGGCTGCTTTGCTGATTTTAGAGAAAGTGTGAACCTCATGATTTAAGAGCCTGAGAAAAATCTTCCTAAGATGGAAACGTGCCCTGTCCAGTGGCAACTCTTCAGCCACATTCTCCCGGCATCAGCCTATTTTACTCCGTCCTACAGCAATCAGGCTTATGGCTGCAATAACTGTGGCAACTGAGGGAACCGGGGTTATTTACCCTGGAGAAAAGGAGACTGAGGGGAGACCTTATCGCACTCTACAACTACCTGAAGGGAGGTTGTAGCGAGGTGGGTGTTGGTCTCTTCTCCCAGGTAACAGGTGATAGGACGAGGGGGAATGGCCTCCAGTGACGCCAGGACAGGTTTAGGTTGGACATTAGGAAAAATTTTTTCACCAAAAGGGTTGTCAAGCATTGGAACGGGCTGTCCAGGGAAGTGGTCGAGTCCCCATCCCTGGAGGTATTTAAAAGCCGGGCAGACGAGGTGCTTAGGGACATGGTTTAGTGATGGGATGGCAGGGTTAGGGTAACGGTTGGGCTTGATATCTTAAAAGGTCTTTTCCAACCTAAACAGTTCTGTGATTCTATGATTCTATGACTTTAAGTGTGCCCGGCAAGCCTCCAGGTGTCACACTGAACAGACCCCTCTCTTCCTAACAGCAAAAGCAGCACCAGGGAAGAAGAAGGAGCACAGCAAAAGAATTAATTCTTAGCATCTCTAGTAAATTAAAATTGCTCTATAACATCCTATGTCAGAGCTGATTTTTTCTTTGAAGTGAGCTTGAATTCTTCTTTGACAAAAATTAGTACCTGTGGCTATTTACTCATATGTCAGCTTAGTGTTTTGTTCTGTTTTTCATGGTTGAATTTTTCATGAGGCCTGAGGAAACTGGAGGTTTTCCAGACATGACATTAAAAGTGAAATGTTATTTTGGTAAATGTGAGAAGACGACTGGTAAATCCAGAAGACATTTTCTTACATATTCATTGGAATTTAGTTTCCATTTTGTCTTTCAGTCTTACACAATTTTGGACAAATAAGTGTTTTCTACTTAAATATTTGTAGTTTCTACAGCTACTAAGGTCAGAACTGTCTTGACTATTACAGAATATTTATGCTGCGTCACACCATCCATTTTCTATATGACACTCCAGAATAATCACTTGGAAGGTGATCAAGGCAGTCAATTAATCTCTTCTGAAATTTGCAATTCATGGATTTTGCCTTCAAATACAGCCCTGACTACAAAATTCGCTTTGCAAAACAACCCACCCCCCCAAAGAATCTGGACTTCTAATTATTCAAATCATTCTAGAAATCAAAACCTGTAACTTTTCTGGAACCCTTTAAAAACAGCCAACACACCAATCATCATATGAAAAATTTTCCATGGCAGGGATTTATTATAAAGGGAGCGCCAAAATTTGTCAACAGAAGTGCTTCAACAATGAAATACGAATAGCGACCTGAATTTCTTACGAATCTGAAACTTGCATTTTGCCTGATAATGTGTTTTGGCTCAGCTGATGAAAGTTATCACAGCCAATTCTGCAGCTGAATCATATCAGTGGGTTCTTTGGAGGCAGCGGTGTGAACAGAGCGCTGCTGAACGCCAGCAACTCTTGACTAGCATGGGGGCTGCTGGAGACTCATGCCAGTTGTGGTCCATCAAAGTAGCCTCAGGGCTACTCCAGCTTAGGCTGAGTGTTAATTGTGGCCGGCACTCTCAGGAGATGCATACAGTCAATCCTGCTGCCTCCTGCCATCTCAGGCCCCCTTCACAACACACCTGGGGCCACCCCTAAGGATGAAAACCTGCATACACTGGCCAGCAAAATCACCGTGCCTTTCCCTGCAAAATGTAAGAAACTCGATTGAATGGGTATCTGGTTTGAACTAGTAAAACACAAGCAGCTGTATGAAACGGGGACTGTGTCTACAGAGCATTTACATGGCTTCTAAAACCGATTTTGACTGTGGGTAGTACTATAAAATATTTCTCCTGAGTAAGATCACACTTAAAAAGGGATCGTGTAATTTTTTTTGCCTTTGCTATTTCTAGCCAAAAGTACTGCTTTTGCACTTCCACAGCATCTGCTATTTGAATATATCAATCAACTAAATCCCACAATACTTGGGTCAATCTTAATCCACTAATGAATGCAAATTCAAGGCACAAAGAAGTGATTTATATAATACTGAATATTAATGAGTATTTAAAGATTATTACAATCCATATACTTAGAAACTCTTTTTAATAAACAAACTCATAAGAAATAACGTAACTTGCATTTCCATTACTATCTTTGGAGAAAGGAATCTGAATGTTCAATTATGACATTATTATTCTGTAAATCAGTTTACAGCAATCAGTGGAAATAATTTTTAATATGAAAATGTTATTCATGCATATTACAGTTCCAAGCATATATTATCCTTTCCTGAGAGCAATTCCATCTCCCAGTCTTTATGCAAAAGGCTGGCCCGGCGGCTCTGTACAGGGTGTAAATTCAGCTCTTGTTTGGCTAAATCCGATTGCCCTGTAGGAGACCAATCTTGCTTAGTGATAGTGGAAGTTAAAAATCGCAAAGCAGAACAGTCCTCTTAAAACGGGGCCAGGAAGAGTCAGCTTCTAAATAAGAAACCTGAGTTTTGAACTAAATTTTCATTTTATCACCGAGAATTTTCAGTTAAGTATAGAAGCTACCTTCTCAGTACTTGCTACCATTACTTTTAAAACTCCTAATGAAATTGAGAAATGCCTTTTTTTTTTTTTTTTTTTTTTTTTTTTAAGATGTACAGTTCTTTCTGAATCACATATAAAGGTGCTACAGTCACTTCAAGCCAGCCTTCAGTTGGGCTGCCTCTCAATCCCCCTTTGACACTTCCTCTTACTCCTTATATTCTATTGAAATGAATGCTCCGGTAGAGAAATTCAGTGAATAGCAAAAAACTCATACAGATTATCAGAACATAACCACCCCAAGTCAATACAAACTATCTAAAATTATTTGAATATTACCAAAGTACTGTTGCTTTATTATGCACTTTCTGAAGAGACAGATTAAAAAGGCACATGCTGACACTACTAAATATGCAATACTGCTGTTCCTTCTGGCAGGATTAGCTAAATACCTAAATGATAGGAACACTCCCCTGTATTTTTCCTACACTTAGAAAATGTGCACAGAAAAGTCACTCTTTGATCTATTTCACTAGCTTCAGTTACTGTAGCAGGCCTTTGTATAAATAAAAAATTTATTTTTAGTAGTCTGTGGCAGCTCCTTATTCTTCCTTTGATGTATAAAGGATTTACGATCAATAATATCTGAAAGCAGCTGGCATTATTACAACTGCTCTGAGTCAAGGAAAAAAAATCAAAAGTAATGCAACACTGGCAAAAACGATATGGCTTTTGCTGTTCAGAAAATGTAATTATCTCAGTAAATGTATGTGGTTTTTGGTAATGAGACTCAAACTTTCAGAAGGATTATTTTTAATAACATCTTTTCACAGTGGCTTTATTAGACATTCTAAGTCAGACCTCAACACTTACCTAACAGATAAATGCCTCACTCCTTCAAAAGGCTTCAGATGAAGGGACCCAGCACCCCACACAGAATCTTAATGATGGCAATGCCATAAAGGCATGAACTTTACCTACAAGCAGCTCAGAGCAGACTCCTAGCACGATCCACCATATGCCAATTATATTATTTTTGGGTGACCAATACTAAAATGTCATATTCAGAAAACAGCTTTAACTGTGAATTGACTGAAGCACAATCCAAACCCTCCACCTGAATTTCCACATCTCCCCTATGCCAACAGTAGAACACTTGTACCTGCATGAGACATATGAATTCAACTGACATCTAACACTTT